GGTAAACCTTATTCTGAATCAGCAAATAAGCTGAATGATTATTTGTTATTAACTGGCATCAGCTATACAAAATAATAATAATAATAAACTTTATTTTATAAAGCGCCTTTAAAAGCAACTTCTCAAAGCGCTGTACACAAAATAAGTAATAAAAAAGCTCAAACAATAAAAGTAACATCAACAATCAAATTCTAATTTAAAAAAATAAGTTTTTAATGTAAAAGAATGTCTGAAGTCTACCTTTGGAATTCTCTGCCTCTTGATCTTAAGGAAGCTCAGAACTATGACATTTTTAAAGGATACGAGCATATGAAGAAAAAGCCCTGTCACCCATAGATCGTAAGCATGTATGAGTTGGTTGATTAACCAACAAGTTGGATTGTGAAGATCGCAGTCTCCGATTTGGGGTATAGGAAATGAACAATTCAGATAAATAATAAGGAGCCAAGCCATGCAATGCTTTATATGTCAGCATCATAATTTTAAAATTAACTCGGAGGAATCTGACTGGGAACCAGAGTAAGGACTCCAAAACTGGAGTAATATGATTGCATACCCTGGACCCAGTCAATATCCTGGCGGCCGAGTTCTGTACATATTGCAGTTTGTTGAGTGTGGATTTAGAGACTCCAGCTAATAAAAGGGCGTTACAGTAATCTATCCTAGAGACGACAAAGGAATTCATCAGCTTTTCAGCTACTGAGAAATTTAGCATAGGATGCAATCTTGCTATGTTTCTGAGGTGAAAAAAGGATGATTTAACTGTACTCTGAACAAAAGAATCAAATGAGAGACTAGTATCAAAAATAACTCCAAGATTTCTCACTTTAGCTTGAGTCGCCAAGACAGAGTCATCAATAGTCAAAGATAAAGAACCAGCTTTGGAAATTTGATGATGGGAACCAATAAGCATAACTTCAGTTTTACCACTGTTCAGACACAAGAAATTATTACTCATCCATTCTTTTATCTCAGAAACACAGTCGGAGAGAAAATCAACATCAGGGTGTTCACCAGATTTTGAGTGTACATAAATCTGCATATCATCAGCATAAAAGTGATAAAGGAGGCCAAGTGATCGCAACAAATGACCAAGTGGTGACAGATAAATATTAAACAGTGAAATAGGATTTAAACCCCTTCAAAGCTGTCCCCGACACACCAAAATCTAGTTCAAGGTGGATGAGTAATAGACTATGAACAGTATCAAAAGCTGCTCTTAAATCAAGAAGGATGAGAATGGAAATTGCACAAAAGTCAGAAGCCATCAACAAATCATTGGTAACTTTGACCAAAGCCGTTTCAGTACTGTGGAATTTACGAAAACCTGACTGAAGAGGTTCAAAAAGGTTATTAATTGCAAGATGGTTACACAAATGAGAGGAAACAACACGCTCAAGTATAAACAGAGTAAAACAGGAGATAACAGAATATAAAGACCCACCCACCTTCCTCCTATTCTCCAATTACAGCAATGATTAGGAAGAAGACATGGAGCCAAAACAAACACCAGAATTCAATACTTAATCAAACAGTGCTTACAACGAGTATCTAGTGTGCCGTTTCCTTTAACAATCACTATGTACACCACAAGTCACAAGTCAAGGAAGCCAGGAGAGTGGGGAGCCATGCATCTATATTTCAGGAGTAACATTGGCTAATCAGGTCATCTCTCATTAGTAGCTCCTGAGGCCTGTTGCATGAAACCGGTTTCGGTTTGCGTTTAGTTTGAGCAAAATCTTGAGTTTTCAGGCTCAAGAAGGTGGGTTGGTTTTTAGCGGGGTTCATCGCCATGGTAACTTAAACTACACGGCTACCCTGCTCCGGAGCAGGTTTTATTCTGGACCAAAACTGGACCAATCAGCATGGGCAAAGTGACATGCATCTGATGTGATAAAGCCACTCCCCCTGTATCTCTTGCTCCAAATTAAAGCAGTTTATAGTGAAAGAATTTTAGACACAAAATTGCCAAATTATTTGCTGCTAATTATGTATTATATTTATATTATATGAATTATATTTATTTATAATTTGTATAATATAAAATATTCATATAGTTATTATATGAATTGACAATTAATATTCAACTTTGCATTAAAATGTATATGAATATACATATAAAAACTAGTTTTAATATATGAAGCTTTTAAAATGACTAAGCTTACATGTTGTCTTTTGAGCTCTTTGTGAACCTATATAAATTATTTAAATTAAGTTGATTCACTTGCATTGATATAGTTATATGATATAGATTTTTTTCAACTGCCTTCTCAAACTTTCTCTGCAGCAGCAGTGTTTATGTCTGCCTTATAAATGCATTTATAGTCGTGATATCTTTCATAATCTCTTCACTTTCAACAGAGAAGTGAATTGCGCAGCTCTCTGGCGAGAGGTCAATCAAACTGATGCGCTCCATGTTCCGTGTGATTGGCTGTTTGCTGCACATGTTCAACCCTGTGATGAACACGCTTCAGAGTTAAACCCTGAGTTGACAGAGAAAGTTTATACCAAGAGTTCTGAACCCGCTGAACCTGATCTAAACAAGGTCGGATTTGTGTGGTTTTGTCAACTCTAAACCTACTCTCAGAGTTTGTTCAACTAGCTTTATACAACAGGCCACTGTGAGCAATTACAGCTTGAGAGTAAAACTGACTTGACTTGACTAATAAAAACACTCACATGTAAACAGGTAACCGCAGCGTTGTCTTCCAATGGTTGTGATGGCCATATAGCATCTGCAAACAAATGAGCCTTTTTTTCTCAAAACTAACCTTTTTAGCCATTTTGGACATGCTTCACAATGTTTGACAACCAAAACATGCCCAAATAAATAAAACAAGAATAAGTGTGATAACACAAGTGTGGTGTGGTGTTAGTGTCAAGGGTAACACTTTACAATAAATGTACATTAGTTAACATGAACTCAGATTAATAAATGCTGTAGAAGTGCAGTTCATTATTAATTCATGTTAATTTCAACATTTACAAATACATTATTAAAATCAAAAGTTGTATTTGTTAACATTAGTTAATGCTCTGTGAACTAACATGAACAAACAATAAACGGCTGTATTTTTGTTAACTAACGTTAAAAAAGATTAACAAATACTGTAACAAATGTATTTGCTCATTGTTAGTTCATGTTAGTTAATACATTAACTAGTGTTAACTAATGAAACCTTCTTGTAAAGCGTTACCGTGTCAATCTTAAGCCAGGTATTTTTGGCCACTGTAAACATAATTTTTTAATTCCTGTGATAATACATTAATTTGTTTTCTATTTCAGGTGATCATGAAATCATGTACAGGAATCGATTATGGGGAGTTTGCCTCTTTCCTTAAGACCATTGCAAATACTCGAATATCCTTTTTGAATTCATGTCCCAGAAATGCAGATAATTGCCAAGACCTCCTTGCAGAAAGTCTGTGTGCATTAGGCCCTCACCATGCAGCCTTTGACCTCCAGAGAGTATTGCAGATATTTGAAAGCATGCTTAGCAATGAAGACTTTAAGAGACTAGACCCTTCAGCTCTGAGCTTCAAACCTGAGGAACTGCTTCAGGAGATCAGAGAGGCTGTTCGTACAATTGTATAACTATACTGTATGTGGAAGATCAACTACGGCAAATGTGTTAATAAATTATTTTAACAACATATTTGTGTTTTCATTGTTGTTTATGCTGTCATAAAAGTATCATGTCAAATCACCACCTTGGGATCATAAGGTTCTATCTGCATTCTGAGCAGTTTTGAGATATTGTGCTTCAAAGTTTTTGCATTCCATTCAACTTAGATAGAAACATTTTTTTTTCTAAATGAAAATTCCCAAAATATACACAACATAAAAAAAAAAACATAATGTAAATAAGTTGTCACAGAGTAAGAATATGTGAATGACTCAATTTTGACAAAAATGTCAGATAGAATCTTATAATTCCAAGGTGACAAAATATTGAGTTATTAACTTGACATGAACTTAACAAAGGGTGTCAACATCCAAAAATTATAAAAGGCAACTTTTCAGCAGATGCAATTCTTTTACTTTCAGTAGTGTTTTTCAATAATCTTAAAAGTGCTGCGTATGAAAGAGCTTTTAATGTAAAGTTAATGTCTCACCCTTTTTGTAAATGTAATTGTTGGGATAGGGGAATTTTTTGTTTTTAAACCAAACTAATAACTTCCAGAGGGCTTCTAAAGTGTGAATCCAATGGACACTTTACTATCCATGTGGCCATGGTATGGGAGAGGAATTGTAATGGCAGTGAACCGATGCAACTGACACTGATAGGTCACATGACAATGACATCATGATTTTACTACGTCTGGATTACATTTAGACCATGCACGTTCATACTACAGAACATACTTTTTTTAACAGTCATGAAATAATTATTTACAAGAAATGACCTACTCAATAATTCTTGCAAAGTTCAGCTCCAAATTCAATCCTAATCAAGCATACCCGGAGCAGCTAATTAAGATCTTCAGGAATGCTTGATAATTACAGGTGGGTGTGTTGGAGCAGGGTTGGAACTGGACTCTTGCAGGAAGGATGCTTTATCCATGACTACAGTATAATATGTAGCCCCATAATTTAATTTACATGGTCTTTATACACGGGCAAATTCATCACCATGTGTATATGCAATTTATTTATTTTTAGACCAAGATAAATTTGCTTGTACAAAACCATTTCAATGTGTATCTATCGGCAACTGTATATGATTGGCCCTTTCTAATAAGATGACATAAAATTAGTTTACTAGATTAAAGGGGCTACACATCTTACCCCACTCAACCCTATAAATAAATGAGTTGTGATAAAGATGTTTTCATATATGCTTATTCTCTGCAACAACAGAAAGAATATGAATTGCTCTGTTCTGGCTATTTGACAGTAATTGACAGTCCGGCTTTTCAAATAAGAATAGGTTGGTTTACATCCATGAAGATGTGATTTGCTTTAGAAAATTAACAACAATAAAACGTTTTTTTAAATAGATTTTATTGCAAGGTGTTAATCAAGACACTGTCAACAGATATTTGTGTAAAATGTATTATATTTAACATTTTAAGTCAACTCTATATAAATATTATCTGCATTCAAATTAAAGCAGTCTGGTAGACCTTACTAGTGTTTCCGATTCATTTATCTTCAGTGTTTTTTGGCCACCAGTCAGGCACAGTAGCCTGTAAAGTCACCGTCGTATTATCAGAGGATTTAAGTTTGAGTGACTCTTTGGCATGAGCCAAGCGTATAAGGCCAAGTCCCAGCCTGTCGATTCCTGCCCTATATTTCCCTGCTGGTTTGCCCCCCTCAGTCTCAAGAGCAGCCCCATGGTCCAGGTTCTTAGCTGGAGCAGACATGGTAACAGGCATTAGGCGCTTCCTTATTACACCGGTGTGGTGCGTTCTTGCAGTTAGTTCCTGTCCGATGTAGCATCCCTTGCTGAAGCTAATTCCCTGCATATAAACCAGATTAGACTCCAGTGGAAGGGCCTCACCTGGCGGAAAGTCTCTGACTCCTTCAGGTAGTCCTATAGAAATTAAATAAATTACAGGATTAATTACAAATGGTGTGCAAACTCTTGAATATCATTTTTCAATAGTTAAACTGGTAGCACTTTATTTTACAGTCCTGCTCCCCATGTACATTATAGTTAGTTATTACAATAACTGGGTAATAACTAGGTACTAACCCTGACCCTCCCCCTAAACCTAACCTTAACCCATGTAGTTACCTTATATTAACCAGTACTTTCTTAGGTAAGTACACTACCAGTGAAAAGGTTTTGATCTGTAAGATTTGTTATGTTTTTAAAAGAAGTCTCTTCTGCTCACCAAGGCTGCGTTTATTTGATTTAAAATACAAAAAAAACCCTGTAATATTATGAAATATTATTACAATTTAAACAAGTTGTTTTCTATGTGAATATATAGTAAAGTGTAATTTATTTACATCTCTCATTATTATCAATGTTGAAAACAGTTATTTACATTTTTATTTCAGGATTCTTTGATGAATAGAAAATTCAAAAGAACAGCATTTATTATTCAAAACTACCATTCAAAAGTCTGGGGTCAGTAAGAATTTTTTTTTTTTTTTTTGGGGGGAAAGAAAATAAATCAAGGATGAATTAAATTGATCAAAAGTTACAGTAAAGACATTTATAATGTTACAAAAGTTCTATTTCAAATAAATAATGTTCTTTTAAACTTTCTATTCATCAAAGAATCCTGAAAAAAGATTGTACACAACTGTTTTCAACATTGATAATAATGAATGTTTTTTCAGCATCAAATCCGCATATTAGAGTGATTTCTAAAGGGTCATGTGACACTGAAGACTGGAGTAATGATGCTGAAAATTCAGCTTTGGTCACAGGAATAAATTACATTTTAAAATATATTAAAATAGAAAACAGTTATTTTAAATTGTCATAATATTTAACAATATTACTGGGTTTTTTTTGTGTATTTTTAATCAAATAAATGCAGCCTTGGTGAACAGAAGAGACTTTTGATCCAAAACTTTTGACTGGTAGTGTATACTGTAAGTACACAAACTGTCAATTAAAGTGCAACCGATAAACATTTAAAACAGGCAAAATGCTATTATTATCATTACCAAAAAAATATCCATATAAACTTTGTTGAGGTAGAGAATTACTTAAGATGAATATTAACATTTTAATATTAACATCAATATCAGGAGAAAAATTATACAGCATGAATTAAGCCCATTTTTCCACATTGAGATGACTCTAAAAGTGGTTCAATATCTAAAATGCATATTCATATCTACACTAGTACCAGTCAAAAGTTTGAACACGCAGACTGAATGTATGCTTCTACTGATATTAAAAACCTATTGATTTAAAAGCTTCTGCTTAAAGGCTTAAAATTCATTTTGTAGATAATTATATAAACTGTACTTGCATATGAATTTCTTTAAAAAACTTTTTTTTAAATGCTGTTTAAAAAGCATTCCAGATCACTCCGCTTCATGAGGGTGGTTGAGAAAAAGCCAACAATGAGCAGAGCTGTAATCTAGACAAAAGGAATTTGTAGAAGCTGAAATATTAGATCTGTTTAACATTTTTGTCACTACATAATTTCATTATGTGATGAGGTCTTTATTATTCAATGTAAAAAGTACAAAAAATGATGATGATAATAATAATAATAATAATGAATAAGTCGTTGTGTCCAAACTTCTCACTGGTAGTGTATGTAAAACTAATTAATTTGAGGTCATTAAGCTCTTATTCATAAGACAGAGAATTACTGCATGTTTAACTTCAATAACTATCAATAACTAACAAATGCAACAAGTTAAGATTGTCAGGTTCAGTTTATCCAAGTAACAATACAAAGCATTTAATACCAATTTCATAGCGATGTCTGTGGTATTCTTCGGTGTTGCCCTGTTGACAAGCAGAGACAATCTCATGTAGATTGTCCTGACAACTGGTGATCATTCTCCAGCCCATGAGTTCAGTTCTCGGGTCTTTCTCCAACACTAACACATTATCTGCTGCAGTAACTTCTGGCTTTGACTTTCCCAGCACTGCATCTCTATTCCTAGGTAATAGAGCCCATAGCGAGAGACTAGGACACAAGCTGATGTTCACTTTGCGACGTATCTTGTAGACTTTCAGAAGCCGCATAATGGATTCCTGTACGATGCTGTCACACTCCAGAAGTACACCATTCAATCCATTTGGGTTTCCTTTTAAACTGAACAACAACAAACAAGTTATATTAATGCATACATTCAGAATGTACATTCGGAACAGTTGTATACGTTTAGCACATGCTATTCTCTAAAAATCAGCACTCCTTACATTAAACATAAGCTGTTTTCATCCATGAATTTGAATATTACATAAAGAAAATTGCAAATAAACCACTGTTTCCATCCCATGTGTTTAAGAGAACAAAATCGTCTCTTCCTGGGAAATTGGCATGAAGTATATTGGCTATGTAATAAAAAATGGAAGTTGCTGCAATCGGGGCAGTGTGAGTGGCTAATTAATTGCATGTCAAAGCGTGCAGACAAAACATTGTTATCTTGCATTTGAAGGTGGATACCTGGTGTTAGTTAACGCAATTGTGTGTGACAGGCATTTCAGGATGGCCAAATCAACACTTGAGACTGAGTGCAATGAAATTTGTTCACTGATAGTTATCCAATCATTTCCTTCGTTGAAGCAAATTCGGTTTTATTCAGTAAATGTGTTTCTGTGTACAGTGCATGCAGAATTATGAGGCACGTTGATTTTCTGATCATATTTGTTTGCCACATTTTACCAATTCCAAACCACATTAATCTTAATAACTTAATAATCTTATATACGCCTTAAATAGGTGTGTGCATAATTATTAGGCACGTTTTCTTTTACAGATAAAATAAGCCAAAAAAGGGATTTAACTAAATGATTAAATGCCCATGAGAAGCATGCAATATTAATTCAATACTAGAAATTGCAGTTAAGGCATGACCATTGCAAGTGAAATGCTCATTGGGTCAGCAGGGTCAGAATTAAGGTGAAGAAATAAGTGTGAAACCATTAGGATTCCCTTTAGTCTCCAGCGCCACCATTTTCCAGAACTGTACCACTGTTCTGAAGAATTCGTCTTCCAGAATCTGGCAGTAAGTTTTGGGAGTTCATTTTTATTCCATCTCATACCCTGAAGTCCGTTTTGGAGAGATGAACTAAAAATGATGATCTCCCAAAACTTACACTTTGCATACAGCTGATATTTTTTGTAACTACATGTTACCGTACTGACATCCCAATATCTCTGGTTTTGAACCATATAGGACCTTAAAAATGAAGATTCCAAAACAAAAGTTTATTAAGAATTAGAATCTTGAAAGATATTAAGATATCTCTAATAGTTTTAGACTTACAGGCACGCAAATGTTGAAAAAATAATATCTATGGCACAAGTATATTCTATGCAATTGTGTTGAAAGAAAAAAAAATGAGATCCATTTCTAGTTTCAACATTATTTGTTCTTCAGATATTCCTCTTTGAAAGAAAAAAGTATCAGCTGTATCCAAAGTGACCCACATTTGTTTTTTTACTACAAAAATGTGTCAAATTTACCAATTTACTCACATTATATGGGATGAATTGAGTCTCAAAATGATTAACACATGCATGCACAATTATCCATGAACTTGATAAATGGGTAACGCTTCCTTTTACAGTACAGTACTTACGTGTAGTGTACTTACCTAGAAAGTACTGGCTAATATAAGGTAAGTACATGGGTTAGGGGTAGGTTTAGGGGTAGGTTCAGGGTTACATTACCCAGTAATTGTAATTACTATAATAAGTACCTAGTATGTACATGGGTAACAACAGGACTGTAAAAGGAAGCGTTACCGATAAATGTTGCAGATATGTTTTACTATCCACAACCAAATGCCTTTCAACTTGTGTGTGCAAAATTCAGAAATAAATTAATGTGTAGCAATTTGTACAAATAAAGACACTTTTGTGAATACAAATGTTTTCTTTTGTATTAGTGTATCATAATTTTCATGTGCAACAAAGATGCTCAATTGTGGATCAGGGGTTGTTGTGGTGAAGGAATTTCCCTTGCGGTAATTTTGAGTGACTCATATGCGGTATTATCGCCATTTATTTATTTACTTATTGCTATCTAAATAAGTATTACTATGTGGTCAGCAGGCACAAAAACAAGGACACATTCAGTAACCAATGTAACCAAAACTAAACCGCGTTGAAACTGATGTAAACTGAAGAGTATGTCAAAATAAGGGTCCACATAACATAACAATAGCCTAAAAAGAGGGTCCACATAACATAACAATAGCCTAAAAAGCTTATTGTCAGGTTTTTGTTCTATGTATAACAGTTAGTTCTGAGCCTCGAATCTGCCTGGACGAGAGGCTTTCTGCTGATATTTCACCAGTATCATCGTCTGCACATAGACAGGCTGTCAGTCAGTGCAGTTACATTGTTACTCCACTAGGTGGCGGCAAGGGACTGTCTTTGAGTAAGTCATTAAAAGGGACCTATTAATGTACCAGTGTCACCTGATCCACAAATGCACATCTTACTTACTTGCACACATTCTGACCAACATTAATACAAAATCAAGGTTGTAAATTTTGTATTTACAATTATGTCTCTATTTGTACAAAATGCTGTACATTCATGTAATTCCGGATTTTGAACACACAAGTTGTAAAGTATTAGTTTAAATATAGTAACACGCATTTGGGAATTTGTCAAATAGATGGGTAGCTGTGCACACATTAATATTTAGCACCGGCATATTCACTGGTAGTTGTTTATTTGTGGGTTGTGAAATGCTTGAAAACCACGAAAAAGAAAGTCTCAAAATCCAAATGAATCAAATAAGATTGACTTGGAAAAGAAGGCAATGAATGGACGTGTCACCTGATCCACAAATGAGCATCTTCTTTGTTGCATGCGCAAATTATGATACACTAATACAAAAGAAAACATTTGTATTCACAAAAATGTCTCTATTTGTACAAATTGCTAACACATTCATTTATTTCTGAATTTTGCACAGGTAAGTTGAAAGGAATTTGGTTGTGGAAAGTAAAACATATCTGCAACATTTATCAAGTTCATGGATAATTGTGCATGCATGTGTTAATCATTTTGAGACTCAATTCATCCCATACATTAAGATCTCCATATGGCTGGGATTTAACCAATTAGGGCCTTTAAAATGAAGATAGTATACCAACAACAACAAAAAAGTGTGATAACCAGAATCTAAAAGGATACCAAGATATCTTTAATACTTCTTGAGTTACAGGCATGCAAACTTGGGGCAAAACAAACACAAGGGGTAAGTGTACCCATTAAGCCCATGTACCCTTTAAGCCCACTTTCAACTTTAAAGTCAAATAAAAAAAAGAGTAAATCATATTTTATGCTGCTCATTATTTTAATCAATCCAGTGATTTGTTACTTCCCTGGCATTTTTTATTGTATACCAATCACATTTGGCAATGTTGAGTTAGCCCCACCCATGTGCAAGCTGTCTCAGGGCACCTCACACAAAGTCACCCCAAAACTTTGGTGTTTCGGGACCCTTCAGAAATCAACACATTTCTGCAATTTTCAGCCATTTATTTGGTAACTACATTGATATTATGTCAAATAAGAGATAAATGTGTTGTTTTTTGTGTATGAAGAAATAGTACTTTATCATTTTATATAATTTTCCTTTAAAAGGAAAGATGAGTTTTATTAGCTTGCGTTCAAAGTTAATCTCTAGGTCAAACCATTAGCCTTACAGAAAGATAGACTGCCAAAGAATTAAGCATGTGAACTGCAAACAATAAATGTTTTGGGATTCATTTTACATTAATTTACAAATAAATACATTATAAATTGTTTTGTAGAGAAGATTATTTTCATAAATTAACTTTTTTTTTATATGGGCTTAAAGGGTTACTTCAGGATTTAGCATTAAGCTTTGTATCAGTAGAAAACCAGTAGTATTTTCGAATTACCGTGCTTCCCCCCTTCATATCCCCCTGAGATGAGAGATTTATGTATTTTTAATCTGGAAAAAATCCTCCGATGACGCAAAAATCGTCATTTTGCGTCATCGGAGGATTTTTTGGTCAGAGGCTTAAAACTACAGCAGGTTTGAGCAGCTAGTTCCGCATGTTTTCACCACGCCCATATTGGGCGGGATCTCACTCACAGAACGTAAACATAGTGTCAGCCATCTTTCTGTAGCTAAGCTAACAGGCTCTTGCTCTGTGGAGAAAGTTTGATTAATCACAATGGCGGAAGGTAGTTTTGAAGTAGAAATGGCAGAAGGGGATTTCGAAGATATTTTGAGAGAATCGGATGCTCGCGGCTACCTGTATGAACCGCAATACAGTGATGAACAGTTGCGGTTGATAGAGGAACAAGAGGCGGTCGGAGCAGCTGCTGCAGCAGAGCAGCAAGACCTGCTTGGCGGTCAGGAGGAAGAGCCCGGGCAGACTCGAGCTGGGGCGGACTGGTGGTGTCAGTGCTCTCGATGTGCGCCTATGTTATCAGAGAGAGAGTCCTATTGCTGTCGCGAATTTCAGCGATGCCATTTTCTTTTGGAAGAGATCGCTGAATCCGCTGATGAAACGGCATGCGTAACTGAGCACCCTAGTTTTCAACCACATATGGACAGGGGGGTCCTGGAAACCTATTTCAGGATCCCGAAAATAAATTGGAAACGCCAGCCAAAGCCCACAGGGACAAACGGACGGCTAAGTGTAAAGTGAGTATTTTGTTTTTTTACTTTTTGTTACTATGACGACATATAACTTACAGAGTTTGGACACCAGGCAGGTATTATCACAACGTGCTTCCCACGTAACGTTAGTCAGCTGAGCTATTGTTGTTATATTTACATCGTTAGCAATTATACTGTATTTGAAAATAGTTTGCATTGCTAACGTTGTGTTTACTGTTTTGTAGACAATATCGTCTAACAGCCTACCGTCACTTCATGGAATGGGTCCTGCAAGGCGAGAGACTGGGGAAAGGCTATCGTATTGTTTTGCCAACCTGTGTTGTTCAGGACATCAGACGAAGATATCCAGCTCCTGACGGGCAATACAGTGGCTATATAGAAACTGCTGAAGCTCTGGAAGAACTTTGAGTGTAAAAGTGATTTATTATTTATTTATTTTTTCAATTAAAACTTATAACTCACATTGGTTGTG